GGTTGGCTAGCTGCAGAAGAGACACGGAGGAAGAGGTGGAGCCTTCATGTCACTGACAGCTCTATTGACAAGTTGCTGGAAGACTCCTAGTTGCATAACTTGACAAAGCGCATGTGCTCGAAACGCGTTATCCTGGTTACCAGCTCCAGCTTGCAGTCCACGTCCAGTACCTGACTTCTGCTTCCCCACTGGTGGTGTGACATCCCTTCCAGTATGCCGTGGTCCCTGGCCTGGTTAGCCATTTGAGTCCACACCACTACCCGGCCTGGGGACACAGGTGAGCGGACATTCTTCCAGTCATGCCTGGTCAACGCCGCTGCATCTGAAATTACTCTGGGTACATTGTACCCAATTTGCACGTAATAAAGCACAACTTTTATGGAATTGAAGTAGGGTTATCATTGAGTATACCATTTATGGGATTGAATTATGGTTACTATTTATCATCATTCCAAGCCACGGTCACCCTAGTGCTGGTTTTCTGGCATTCCATTATCACTTTTTACAGTGTGACTTTAGCAGCTGTGTGCAAGTGTCACACCCCCCCCCCCCCCCCAATCCTGGTGTTAAGCACTTGGATCTTGTATGTTCTTGTACTACATAGTTGGTAGATCTGAAGAGGATTAAAGGAAATAGTATCACAAAGGAGCAGTACGGGACAGGTCATCTAGCGCCCAGGGCAAAGATGCCAGCATAGCCCCACCTCCGTTCATAATGTGCAAGCTTAGCAGTCACTCGCGTGTCAAAATCACTGTTCACCATCTGATCTGTCAGTCAGGTTTTGCATTGACCTTGAAGTGCAGTAAGATACCAGAAGAAACAATTTGAAGCTGTCAGTGGATGTGTATGCAGAAGCCAGCAGCTGTGTTTACAGGCTACAGGAGCACTGCACTGACAGGAGGGAGGACCTAGAGGGAGAAAAAGAGAGAGAGCACAGACCCACCTCCTCCCTCTCTTCACTCCCAGCTTTCTCCTGGATAGCACCCCACTGTGGGCTGTGCTCTCTCTCCCCTTCACCCACCTGATATTGCAGTGATCCTGTGTGTCCTATATGGCTGCCAGTTTCTGAATACAGGAGCTCTACACTGGCAGGAAGGGGGAGGGGAGAGCGAGCACAGCCTGCACTGCCTCCCGGCTCTCTCTTCCTCTCTTTGCCGTTCCTAGCGTTGGGCTGAAAGGAGTAGTGATACCTCTGTCACTACTACTGCCAGCCTTGTAATTGAAGGAAGGTGCCACCAACCCTACAGTAAACCATTGCACCCAGGGCAGCTGTCCTTCCCACCCACCCCTTGTCCTGGCCCTGTAGGGGAGTCTTTTATAGGGTTGCAATAGCTTTGTAGTAGGAGGTGACCAACTCATGTTAATGCTTTTTTTTCACTTTTAATGACTGATTGTAGACCCAATCACTGAAATCTCATAAAAAACATTAACATACATGTTCTTCATGCCTATAGAAGAGGCCACCATTCTTTGAAAGCTTGCACTAAAATGTATTTAGTTAGCCAAAATCCTGAATCGAAACTTCCACTTTTGTCGAAGGCCATCATGGTGTTATTTCAAAAGCCATGTTTAATATTTTTAAATCAGCAGCTTTCAGAAAAATAATAAATGGTTACCCCTCCTGTTATAGGGTGACACCACTGGGTCTCTGTCCTCCAATTGTTCTCCTGCCTTGTCACCCCATCACATACATTGCCCAAAAGAGACTACAGATGACTATGATGTCCATTGTCCTTGTATGTAGCCACTTTGATATCAAACACAACTTATTTTCTTGGTCAAATTGAAAAGGAAGCCATTGAAAAGTTTGGAATTGTTTTAATTTTTCAATGGGGTTGTAGCCTATGCGGTATAATAGTTAATGAATAAATAATAAATGGTGACCCTTCCTGTTATAGGGTGACAACACTGGATCTCTGTCCTCCAATTGTTTCTCCTGCGTTGTCACCCCATCACATACAGTACATTGCCCAAAAGAGACTACAGATGACTGTGATGTCCATTGTCCTTGTATGTAGCCATTTTGAGATCACACACAACTTATTTTCTTGGTCAAATTGAAAAGGAAGCCATTGAAAAGGTTGGAATTGTTTTAATTTTTTCAATGGGGTTGTAGCCTATGCGGTATAATAGTTAATAAATAAATAAAAATGGTGACCCTTCCTGTTATAGGGTGACAACACTGGATCTCTGTCCTCCAATTGTTCTCCTGCGTTGTCACCCCATCACATACATTGCCCAAAAGAGACTACAGATGACTATGATGTCCATTGTCCTTGTATGTAGCCATTTTGATATCACACACAACTTATTTTCTTAGTCAAATTGAAAAGGAAGCCATTGAAAAGGTTGGAATTGTTTTAATTTTTCAATGGGGTTGTAGCCTATGCGGTATAATAGTTAATAAAAAAATAATAAATGGTGACCCTTCCTGTTATAGGGTGACAACACTGGATCTCTGTCCTCCAATTGTTCTCTCCGGTATAATAGTTAATGAATAAATACATACAAACTATTTTAGCTGATCATTTCACAGAATGCAGGCCAAAAAAATTAACAACAGTAGAATTTTTTTTGGAAACAACCATAGTTTTGATCCAATGTCTAATTGTAAATTTTACAGTTGGCAATTCAAGAGAAATCTTTCAAATATGAGCAAAAATTTGAACTGATTTTTTTGTGGTCGCCGGTATCAGGAATCGCCCCCCCCCCCCTCAAAAAATAATTGTGTTGTTTGACATTTTTTCCATACAGAGAACATTTCTACACATTTTCAAAAGTTCTTTTATTCTTTGTATAAAATAATCCATTATCGATCTTTAAAACATTCAGGTTAGCAAAGCATCACATTGCCATATTAACACTTGTTTTTTCAAAAATAAGTAAAACCAAATATTACAAAAAAAAAAATTCAATTTATTTAAATATAACATTTTTTGAAAACTTTTAATATTTCAAGATGTTGAAACTTCAAAAGAACTTATCTATAACAGAGATTTGCCTTATCAAATGTGCTGCAATCTGATTGAACAATTTATTCGGTTTAGATTTTTTACTAACATCTAATAGCTAACGTTTAATAAAAGTGAATGAGGTTGTATGAAACAGTGATTAGTTAAATTGGAAAAGTTGGTGTTATGTCAAAGTAGATTGCAAAGCCAGGCACATCATTATGATCCCAGGTCTCAATGTAATTTAATTCAATTTTTCACCTATTCACAAAAATTGAAAAGGCGAACCTACTCCAACTATCCTGGCCTCCACCCCAGACCCAGTTGTGCATAGCGGCCATGGTGCCCTGTGTTGCAGATGTAGTGGTCAATACACCACAATACCCACCCCTGGAAGGAGTATCCTTCAACTCGCTCACAATAGCAAGTACTCATTGGTGATCTTGGATCATGTGACCATGCTGACCAATAGGAAGCACTTTTTTCTTCAGGGACACCTTAATGGTAGAAGAAGCCTCAGATTTACTTGAATCGGTGCCCACCAATGAGAACTTCCCATTGCAAACCTTATGATGGATACTCACTCAAGGGCTGGGAATTGCAGTATATTTATGGACCACTACACCGTAAGCACTAGGCATCTATGTGCATTGGGGTCCGGAGTGGTGGCCAGGATATTTGGGATTAATTCCACCTTTTCTTCTTTCATTTAAAGTTGATATTACCCTTTAAATTTCAGTTGATCTTTCAGTTTCAATCTGCTGAGTACATCCCAGGTGTGTCAAAACTAAAGGTGTGCAAGGCTTTACAGTTTATTTCCTTTAGAAAGCAACCACAGCCTGAGTAGAAAATCCTATCCCCTGCCAGCATGAGAAGGAGAGTTATTCTTAGTGTGGAAGCTGTGGTCTCTCTGCAGAGGTCTGATGTCCCTTAAGCAGGAAATGTAAGCTTTGCTGATTGCAGAGCTCTGACTCAGTAGGGACCAGGGGCGGACTGACAACTCATGGGGCCCCCAGGCAATAGGGGATCATGGGGCCCCTGTGTCCTTGCCCACACTCAAAAAAGCTATGAAAAAGGTACCAGGGGCATCTCAAGGGGCCACCTACTGACCCCGGGCCCTCTGGCAGTGCCCGAGTTTCCAAATGGTCAGTCCGCCCCTGGTAGGGACCGTGTCAGATCTCTGCAGAGAGACCACTGCTCCCACTCTGAGTCTGAGGATCCTCCTGTGCAGCATGCTGTCAAGGGACAGGCTTCTCTATTCAGGATGTGGCTGCTTTCTAAACAAAACCAACTGTAAGCCTTTGCACACCTTTTGTTCCAATGTAACCGGAAAGTAATATGTCAATTAAACAGTTCGATTGGACTTTAGATATTTTAGTTCTTGCCTATATAAACATAAAATTACTAGAGTGTACAATCAGACAGTAACTTGATTGGCCAATTTAAGAAAAAAATGGCAGTTTTTCCTATCAAGCATCTAGACATTTCAATTTTTAATTTATTAAATCGGATACAAATACATCAACATGTATTTCAAACTTAGACTGTAAAATATATTATTTATTTCTATCTAAATATATTATATTAAAAGAATATTTACAGATTTTGTCTTTTTCCTTTTTCTCTTTTTTTTTTTTTTTTTTTTTTTTTTTTTAAAGCAAAGCAGATAGTTTAAAAAAAATTAGGGCTGAGCACCAAAATAATAAGCTGAAAAGGTAGACATTATGGAGCGTTATTAACTAAATCAATAGAGGTTTTCTATGGTAAAACACACAGAAAAAATGTTTTAAAATGTAAAAATACTTTTTTTCTGGATTATGTTGGAAAGATAGTGCTGTGAGCACACAACAAATAATAAAAATATATATATAAAAAACTTTCAGAATCCAGAAATGTTCTAGTTTGCATTGATTTAAAATTCATTGCTTCCTAATACCATGTTGTTTACTGGCTTTGAATATAAACTTTTAGCATAATGCTTTTTTTTTTTTTTTTTTTTAAACTCTTTTGGCAGTGTTACATATAGATTTCAAGATGGCTATAGAGACTTTAAACAGGCATTTGAACTTCGTGGTAGACATCTTGACCATTTTCTTCTTCTAAAATGACAGAGGCGTCATCAGCGTCCAACTGAAAAAGAGTAAAATGGAGATTGTTAAATGAGAAGGGCATCGTGATATTATACAGGGTCCAGGTCTCTTTGCATTGCATGATGATCTCAGGATACGTAAAATCTGCCTTGTGTTTGGCACATACAAGTCATTACCAGGGGCGGACTGACCATTTGAAAACTCGGGCACTGCCCGAGGGCCCGGGGTTAGTAGGGGGCCCCATGAGATGCCCCTGGTACCTTTTTCATAGGCTTTTTTGAGTTTGGCCAAGGACACAGGGGCCCCATGATCCCCTATTGCCCAGGGGCCCCATGAGTTGTCAGTCCGCCCCTGGTCAGTACCATGTTATGGAATGCATCATGACTTAAATGGGCAAAATGACAGATACTCTTTAGTCCTTCCCTCGACTAAACAGTCTATTTTTGCTTTGGAGACTTTGGCCGTGGTCACACTAACAAACCTAAGAGACCATTCCATCATTCCCTTGGTGGCCAAAGCAACAAGAGGCCACTCTATTGATACTTCCTCAACAGGCTCTGTAACATTTTGGCCAGTGAGGAAGTGATGCCAAATAAATGGTTGAGCTGATGATTTGCCACTTGGGATAAGCTTGACTTAACCTCCAGGTTTGGTCCAAACCCAAATTCGACCAAATCTGGACATCAGCTGTCAGTACCGGGCCAATGGGCTGCAAGGCAGAGGATTCCCTGCAGCTGCACATACATAAGGAGGTGGGGATGATCCACATGGCCCTATTGGGTCAAAGTCACTGATCAAATACTATGTGGTAATGTGGCCATACTAGACTAAGGTTGTCGTGAAGATCACCGTCTTTTTGTGTACATGCAGCTGCAGGGAGGGGAATGTCCTGGTCACAGCTGATTGGCTTGGCAATGGCAGCTTCCGTCTGGGTTCTACTGAACTTGGGTTCAGACCAAACCCAAGCTCATTAGAATTTGCCACCAGTGACCAGATTGCTTATGTGTCATTGTTGCTAAAGCAGCAGGTTCTTCTAATTCATTGGGGCTTAGGCCCATATCACACGAGACATTTTGTAGCTTAGTAGCCAGCTACAAATCTCCAGAGAAAACAAGCACAGAGATTTGTAGCTTCTACAACATTGATAGTGTGCTATGGCCTCATGGGGTAGATGAGGGTGAAAAACAGAGAAAAAAAACACATATGTAGACATTGGAATACAACCTCAGTGCTCCAGGTAAAGAAGTTCCATAAGATATAAAAGATTACCTGCTGATCTCTTGATTCACCTATAAATTATTTTCTCAACCGTAAACAGAGATTCTGAGGGATTCTTCATAAGATCCCATCTGTATATGTGTATCTCTTTATTTAAACCCCCCCCCCCCAATCACTCACACATACCACTTGTGGTACATACCACCTATCTGGTTAAAGTGGTTCATTTGTCAACAGTCAATACAACTACAACAATAGTAGAGGTATATTTTGCTTTGATGAATATGGTGGGAAATGCTACTGATTTAGAACAGTGGTTCTCAGCCAGCCCCCTGCCCCTATGGCCCACTATCTCACTGACACCAATGATTTGAAGGACTATTCTTCCCTGAGGTTCACTAGCCCACTGACACCAATGATTTGAAGAACTATTTGTCTTTGGGTCCCACTATCCCCTGACACCGGTGATTTCAAGGACTATTTTTCCCTGGGGCCCACTATCCCACTGACACCAATGATTTGAATGACTATTTATCCTTGGGGCCCACTATCCTATTGACACCAATAACCTGAAGAACTATTCTTCTCTACAATCCACTATCCCACTGACACCAATGATTTGAATGACTATTTATCCTTGGGGCCCACTATCCCATTGACACCAATAACCTGAAGAACTATCTTTGCCTACAATTCACTATCCCACTGACACCAATGATTTGAAGGACTTTGATTCCCTGGGGCCCATTATTACACTGACACCAGTGATTTGAAGGACTATTTATCCTTGGGGCCCACTATTCCACTGATGCCAATGATTTGAAAGACTGTTCTTCCGTAGGGGTCACTATCCCACTGACACTAATAATTTGAAGGACTATTCTTCCTTGGGGCTCACAATTCCACTGAAACCAATGATTTGAAGGACTATTCTTCCCTGGGGCTCACTATTCCACTCTCACCAGTGATTTAAAGGACTATTTATCTTTGGGGCTCACTATCCCACTCACACTACTTATTTGAAGGACTATTCTTCCCAGGGGGTTACTATTCCACTGACATCAATGATTTGAAGCACTATTTATCCTTGGGGCCCATTATCACAATGATGCCAATGATCTGAAGGACTATTCTTCCCTAGGGGGTCACTATCCCACTGACACCAATGATTTGAAGAATTATTCTTCCATGGGGCCCACTATCCAACTGACACCAGTAATTGGAAGGACTATTAATCCCTGGGGACCACTATCCCACTTACACCAATGATTTGAAGGACTATATATCCCTGGGGCCCACTATCTCACTGACACCACTGATTTGAAGGACTATTTATCCCTGGGGCCCACTATCCCACTGACACCAGTGGTCTGAAGGACTATTTCTTCCTGAGGGTCACTATCCCACTGGCACCACTGATTTTAAAGAGTATTCTTCCCTGAGGGTCACTATCCCACTGACACCAGTTATTTGGAGCAGCTATTCTAATTTTTGTAATTGTGTCTATTTAAATTATTTTTTACTGGTTACTCCCCATTTTTATGCATTTTAAACATATATTTGAATTCTACATGAGTATAAATCTTTTATTTACTGTTGAGGCATGGAAGGGTTAGGAAGATTTACCGTGCCCTGGTCTCACCAAGGTTAAGAAGCACTGATTTAAAATATACTGTACTATTACATAGCGAGTCTATGCAAGGCACCCTATTTTTCTGGACTTTGTAGCAATCCAATAGCCCCATAAGCAGGGGCGGACTGACCATTCGAGCACTCAAGCACTGCCCAGGGTCAGTATGGGGCCCAATGAAATGCCCCTGGTACCTTTTATAGGCTTTTTTGGGTGTGCTTTGAGTGTGGGCAAGGACACAGGGGCCCCATGATCCCCCATTGCCCGGGGGCTCCATGAGTTGTCAGTCCGCCCCAGCCCATAAGGTTTTAGTCCTGCTCTTGTATTCAGTATTATTTGTGCAAAGCATTGGGTCTCAAACAACCAAGAAGCTTACAAGAGTTTTCAGAAATACTTACACACTTGAGTTCCAGGCTGCTAAAGATTTTGGGAAGAAGGAATTTGCGGAGTGGCACGGTGAGGATGAGGAGGAAGGGCAAAGCCAGAGAGGCAGGGGTTAACATTACTGCAAACAGCCCCACCAGGCAGATCATCTGGATCAGAGTGAAGACGTGCATGCGCCAAGTCTTTACCTAGAGGAAAAAGTCAACAATAGGCAATATTCACTTTCAGTAATGGAACCTACAGCCAAGCATTAAAACAAACCTGGCATCACAAATATTTTCTTTTCATCCCATGTATATGTATGCTACGTAAAATGTAATTTTAACATTTGCAGGTATTTGCTGATCTTAGAGATCACAATACTCCCCCCTGACAATGCCTTCATCTGCTTTTCTTTCTGGAAGGGTTGATCCATCTTTGTGTAGGCATCATTCAAGGTCTACGACAACTTTCTGGACTGAGATCCTAGCTCAGAGAAGACCCTTTTTTTAAAATCCTGTACAGTCTTGGCTGTGTTCACAAATGTCTATCACACATTAGCCCCCTGCTACAGCCTCTCATTTTGGGAAGGTAATGCCATTTGATGAAAGCTAAAGGATGGCTTTCTCATGATGAAAGGTTGAACTTTTTGAAATTTTGCTGAATGAATTTTGAAAACATAATCCAATTAGCTAAAAATGTTTTGTAACTGCCCTTTATATCTATATTTTCTTTTTATTGTACTGTTTTTACCTAATCTTTTATTATTTCTCATTACCATTACGAGTTTAATATTCAACTTTTTCATTGTGCTTAGCATCATTATTCTACATTAACTATTCTCCTTTCCATCATAACTGCCCTATTTCCCTATCAATCCCTGTCAGTTCTTACCCTAGTGACATAGGACTCCTTTGGGTGATATTTAGGAGGCTTTAGAGTAAGCAAGATCCGGTCAAACAGCTGTATTCCACTCAGAGAGGTGACACCCATGTACAGGAAGATACCAAAAAGAACGGCCAATGGGATGAGGGACAGAACTGGTTCCATTAAGATTGAAAGACCTGCAAGGAAAGGGAAGATTGCAGTTGAATACATTAAAATGTAAAGACAAGTATTGGGCAAGTATGTATAGAAATCCTTAAGCCGGCCATTGACAGTTCAAATCTTGGCCAGTTCAGCAGGGACCAGCCGAAATTAGAAGAATGTATGGGCAGGTTGGATGTACCCAAGTTGATCAATTGATCAACTTTAGTACAAGCAGCCTGTCAGATTTTACATGAGATTATTGCCAGTGGCTATTATAGCCACTAGAATTAAGTACTGTGTTCTCCTGGTAGGGACGGCTCCCCCCACCCTACCATGGGGAGAGCACAATAGCTCCGCGGGAGGGATTTCCTCACTGACTGTGTTGACAACACAGGCAACACAATTGCAGGAAAGAAAATCATAGTTACATACTTAGTCTGGCTGAAAAAAGACAAAAGTCCATCCAGTTCAACCATAAAAAAAAAAAAAAAGTTATAATCCTACACCCACAGTTGATCCAGAGGAAGGCAAAAAAAAAACAGCAAAGCACGATGCAATTTGCTCCTGCAGGAAAAAAAAATTCCTTCTTGATCCCCCGAGAGGCAATCAAATATTCCCTGGATCAACTTTACCTTCAAATGTTAGTATCCAGTTATATTCTGTGTATCTAGGAAATAATCCAGACCTTTTTTAAAGCAATCCACTGAGCTGGCCAGAACCAACTCTTGAGGGAGTCTATTCCACATTTTCACAGCTCTCACAGTGAAGAAACCTTTCCGTGTTTGGAGATTAAATTTATTTTCCTCCAGACGTAAAGAGTACCCCCTTGTCCTCTGTGATGACCTCAGGGTGAATAACTCTACACCGAGTTCACTATATGAACCACTGATGTATTATACATGGAGATCATATCCCCCCTTATGTATTATACATGGTGATCATGGAGATATATCCCCCCTTATGTATTATACATGGAGATCATATCCCCCCTTATGTATTATACATGGAGATCATATCCCCCCTTATGTATTATACATGGAGATCATATCCCCCCTTATGGGAGATCATATCCCCCCTTATGTATTATACATGGAGATCATATCCCCCCCCCTTATGTATTATACATGGTGATCATATCCCCCCATGGTGATCATTATGTATTATACATGGAGATCATATCCCCCCTTATGTATTATACATGGAGATCATATCCCCCCTTATGTATTATACATGGAGATCATATCCCCCCTTATGTATTATACATGGAGATCATATCCCCCCTTATGTATTATACATGGAGATCATATCCCCCCTTATGTATTATACATGGAGATCATATCCCCCCCTTATGTATGTATTATACATGGAGATCATATCCCCCCTTATGTATTATACATGGAGATCATATCCCCCCTTATGTATTATACATGGTGATCATATCCCCCCCTTATGTATTATACATGGTGATCATATCCCCCCTTATGTATCATATCATATCCCCCTTATGTATTATACATGGAGATCATATCCCCCCTTATGTATTATACATGGAGATCATATCCCCCCTTATGTATTATACATGGAGATCATATCCCCCCTTATGTATTATACATGGAGATCATATCCCCCCTTATGTATTATACATGTTTATACATGGAGATCATATCCCCCCTTATGTATTATACATGGAGATCATATCCCCCCTTAGTTTCCTCTTCTCAAGAGGGAATAAATTCAGTTCCTCTAATCTTTCCTCATAGCTGAGCTCCTCCATGCCTCTTATCAGTTTGGTTGCCCTTCTCTGCACTTTTTCCAGTTCCCCAATGTTCTTTTTGTGAATTGGTGCCCAAAACTGAACTGCATATTCCAGATGAGGTCTTACTAATGATTTGTACCGGGGGAAATGATATCTCTCTGTCTGGAGTCTATACCTCTTTTAATACAAGAGAGGATTTTGCTCGCTTTAGAACCCGCAGCTTGGCATTGCATGTTATTATTAAGCTTGTGATCTACCAGAACCCCCAGATCCTTCTCCACCATTGATTCCCCCAGTTGTACCCCCCCTAGTATGTATGACGCATGCATATTTCTTAGCCCCCAAGTGCAGAACCTTACATTTATCAACATTACACCCAGGGGCGGACTGACAACTCATGGGGCCCCCGGGCAATAGGGGATCATGGGGCCCCTGAGTCCTCGTCCACACTCAAACCACACCCAAAAAAGCCTATAAAAGGTACCAGGGGCATCTCATGGGGCCCCCTACTGACCCCGGGCCCTCGAGCAGTGCCCGAGTACCCGAATGGTCAGTCCACCCCTGATTACACCTCATTTGCCACATAGTTGCCCAATTACACAGAGCATTGAGGTCGGCTTGTAAGTTGAAGACATCCTGTAAGGACGTTATTCCACTGCACAGCTTGGTGTCATCTGCAAAGACTGAAATGGGATTTTTAATCCGAGACCCCGATATCTTTTATAAATCGCTCCATCTATTGCCGGCTGTAGATTACTATGAGAGCCATGAAAACTTGTTTCATTTGAGCTAGTGTACCTATCTAAAATCTATTGAGATAAACAGTCTGTTATCTGTGTTTTATTCAAACCTGTGTCCAGGCTCAGGACGTTCAAGTATATAAATGTTAACATGTACCTAAACTGATCAACAGAAATGTAATATTCTACAGCTTACCAGTCCTTAAATGTGGTGCCTTCCTGTTCTAGGGTGACAACACTTACACACCATACTGTGAGGAGCACCCTAAAAAAAGGATTACAGAGCACACTCCTTCTCATGAGGAGTAGTAGTAGTCAGGGGCGGACTGACTATTTGGAAACTCGGGCACTGCCCGAGGGCCCGGGGTCAGTAGGGGGACCCATGATATGCCCTTGGTACCTTTTTCATAGGCTTTTTTGAGTTTGGGCAAGGACACAGGGGCCCCATGATCCCCTATTGCCTGGGGGCCCCATGAGTTGTCAGTCCGCCCCTGGTAGTAGTCTTGAGAGATTGCTTGGAATCCTTGCGTAATTTTTCAACCTTACTATGTATCTGATAAAAATGCAGCACAAGCAGAGAACACAGAAGTTTATCAGCTGACAAGGATCTCTGGCAGCACTAGCATGTACTTTTTGCACTTATCAAACAGGTATAACAAGATGATTTGAATGGTATAATGACCAGATCAAAATGAAGCAAATAAAAGAAATTCATTTTGAAGCCTAGGGCACACTATACGTTTTTATTTCGTTCACCTGATCGGGCTGAACAAAAAAAATATAACTGACAGATCGCTGCACTAACAGAACAAGAGATGTTAGTACAGCGATCTCCCCCCTGTGCTATTGTATTCTGACAGGGGGACTGCCCCCCGCCGGAACACACTGGTTAGCGCTCGCAGCCATTGGCTGATGATTTTCAAGCATGTTCGTTCAATGGAAGCCTGTCGAACAGGCATCTGTACACACTGGCTGAGAGTCGCCCAATTTCTTCTGTAATGCCTGATTTCGGCCAATATTCCCCCATGTGTACTTGCATTAGCATTTACATACACTTTGACATGCAGCAAACAAACTTTAAAACAAACCCACATTGACCTCGGTAGCTGCAGACACTGTGGAGCGATTCAAAGTTCACATCAGGAGCACTGAAGTCATAGTTTTCTCAGCAGTTCAACGTTCCCTGTTCCCCCATCGGATGGGAGGGGGACTAGGGGAAGCTGAGCTGCTAAGTCTGTGCTGGGAGAGAAAACTGATTTAACGAATCGCTGCTGGGGGGTCAGCACTGGGAGCTAAGCTGCTGAGGGAAGAACTTCGGTGCTCCTACTGTGAACTTTGAGGATGAATTGCTTCAAAGTGCCCGCAGCTACAAAGGTAAGTGAGGGTTTGTTTTAAAGCTCAATTACTCCTCGTTAAAATGTGTAAATATCCATAGCCTGGCCACAACTTCATATTGAAGTGAACCTGTCATCCATTCTGAAAAACAATATAAAAAAGTGACTACTGATTTGACAAGAAAAACATCCATGTGATATTGCTTATAGTTTTTTAATGAGGCCTTCATTTTGGACCTAAACCCCATCCTGATGCTATGTCCTGCTCATGTGCTGGCTATAGACCAATCAAAATGTCATTATTGGCCAGCAAAGCACTTTCATTGGGTTTGATGTGAGAGAAGGGGTTTATGCTCACAGTTATGGAAGTGTAAGGTTTCACTAGCAATATGAAAGCAATCTTAGACTGGGCCCCAAAGAGGTTTTGGAGTTCCTGGATTTACATCTCTGGCTTCTCTGGGGCTCAGTAGGGGGAATTACATTTCCTACTGCATACTACATATTGTAAAAAAATAAATAAATAATAATAATTATAATAATAATAATAATAATAATAATAATACAGCAGTGAGACACTCCTGGTTCCTGGAATTGTTGGACCTTTGCCTGCTGCATTGAAATAATTTTTTTTCCAGTCATTATGATTAGTTATATAGTGATTCATGTTCCTCCAAGAATAGTGGGACTAGTGACAAAAAGTATTATAAAATGTTGGCACATACTATTCTCCATGCTTCTCTGCATCTAGGTCCTTGCCTGTTCACATCCCATTGTGTGTAGTTTACATCTATTTATGACCCAGATTTCTATTTTGTGTTTCCTATAAATCTGTACACCCTCAAGGTGAACTTCATCCTGTCTTGTTTTATAGTCTTTGTCAGAAAGGAAGGAGTGAGAGGTCACTGTAGCTCCAGGCAGAACGTGGTTTATGACAGTCAGAGGAGGGCAATGCATGCATTATGATTAAATATACATGTACACCATCTTGCACACACATTAGAACAAAACTACAAGTCCACCAAATTCTTCGATGCAGATGTCTCTGAGAATTACCCTGATACAGTTATTTAAAACATCACTTTGATAATTAATTTGATATTAAAAGCGCTGTAATTAAAATAAAGATAAAATAAGAGTAAACCCCCCATATGGAAGAAAAATATATATTTAAAAAATATTCTTCCCAAATATATTGCCATATATTTGAAATACTACAATTTTGGCCATATTCAATTATATATATATATATATATATATATATATATATATATATATATATATATATATATACAGTCAGGTCCATAAATATTGGGACATCAACACAATTCTAACATTTTTGGCTTCATACACCACCACAATGGATTTGAAATGAAACAAACAAGATGTGCTTTAACTGCAGACTGTCAGCTTTAATTTGAGGGTATTTACATCCAAATTAGGTGAACGGTGTAGGAATTACAACAGTTTGCATATGTGCCTCTCACTTTTTAAGGGACCAAAAGTAATGGGACAATTGGCTTATCAGATGTTCCATGACCAGGTGTGTGTTATTCCCTCATTATCCCAATTACAATGAGCAGATACAAGGTCCAGAGTTCATTTCAAGTGTGCTATTTGCATTTGGAATCTGTTGCTGTCAACTCTCAAGATGAGATCCAAAGAGCTGTCACTATCAGTGAAACAAGCCATCATTAGGCTGAAAAAACAAAACAAACCCATCAGAGAGATAGCAAAAACATTAGGCATGGCCAAAACAACTGTTTGGAACATTCTTAAAAAGAAGGAACGCACCGGTGAGCTCAGCAACACCAAAAAACCTGGAAGACCACGGAAAACAACTGTGGTGGATGACCAAAGAATTCTTTCCCTGGTGAAGAAAGCACCCTTCATAACAGTTGGCCAGATCAAGAACACTCTCCAGGAGGTAGGTGTATGTGTGTCAAAGTCAACAATCAAGAGAAGACTTCACCAGAGTGAATACAGAGGGTTCACCACAAGATGTAAACCATTGGTGAGCCTCAAAAACAGGAAGGCCAGATTAGAGTTTGCCAAACGACATGTAAAAAAGCCTTCACAGTTCTGGAACAACATCCTATGGACAGATGAGACCGACATCAACTTGTACCAGAGTGATGGGAAGAGAAGAGTATGGAGAAGGAAAGGAACTGCTCATGATCCTAAGCATACCACCTCATCAGTGAAGCATGGTGGTGGTAGTGTCATGGCGTGGGCATGTATGGCTGCCAATGGAACTGGTTCTCTTGTATTTATTGATGATGTAACTGCTGACAAAAGCAGCCGGATGAATTCTGAAGTGTTTCGGGCAATATTATCTACTCATATTCAGCCAAATGCTTCAGAACTCATTGGACGCCGCTTCACAGTGCAGATGGACAATGACCCAAAGCATACTGCAAAAGCAACCAAAGAGTTTTTTAAGGGAAAGAAGTGGAATGTTATGCAATGGCCAAGTCAATCACCTGACCTGAATCCGATTGAGCATGCATTTCACTTGCTGAAGACAAAACTGAAGGGAAAATGACCCAAGAACAAGCAGGAACTGAAGACAGTTGCAGTAGAGGCCTGGCAGAGCATCACCAGGGATGAAACCCAGCGTCTGCTGATGTCTATGCGTTCCACACTTCAGGCTGTAATTGACTGCAAAGGATTTGTAACCAAGTATTAAAAAGTGAAAGTTTGATTTATGATTATTATTTTGTCCCATTACTTTTGGTCCCTTGTCAAGTGGGAGGCACATATGCAAAGTGTTGTCATTCCTACACTGTTCACCTGATTTGGATGTAAATACCCTCAAATTAAAGCTGACAGTCTGCAGTTAAAGCACATCTTGTTTGTATCATTTCAAATCCATTGTGGTGGTGTATAGAGCCAAAAATGTTAGAATTGTGTCGATGTCCCAATATTTATGGACCTGACTGTATATATATATACACATAACATATAAAAAAGATATTTTAACATATACTTGTAAATGCATTCCAAAAATGTAGATATGTATTATTAAAGACATACAGTATATTTGAAATGTATTTTTAAAAATATTTTGTAATAATAACGCATTTCAACATGCAGTGTGTATATTTGTATGTATGTGTATGTATGTGTATATATATATATATATATATATATATATATATATATATATATATATATATATATGTGTGTGTACGTATGTATATATATATATTGAATATGGACAAAATTGTAGTATTTCAAATATATGGCAATATATTTGGGAAGAATATTTTTAAAATATATTTCACATATTTTTTCTAAGCAGAGATAACCTGTAAAATTAATTGTCAAAATGTAGATCCAGACAAACAGACAGCTGAAGTTATATGTAACTCTCAAGGCCTTCTTCCCACCCCAAGGTTTCCCCATTATTTCTACAAGTAATAGATGGCCTCGATCACAAATAGAAAGGTCTAGGAGGCTCTAGGGCAGTGGTTCTCAACCTTCCTAATGCCGCAACCCTTTAATACAGTTCCTTATGTTGTGGTGACCCCCAACCAGGGGGCAATAGGGGATCATGGGGCCGCTGTATCCTTGCCCAAACTCAAAAAAGCCTATGAAAAAAGGTACCAGGGGCATCTCATGGGGCCCCCCACTGACCCCGGGCCCTCGGGCAGTGCCTGAGTTTCCAAATGGTCAGTCCGCCCCTGCCTCCAACCATAAAATTATTTACCCAGTAATTATAATTCATGAAGTGTCGTTTTACCTCCAATAGTGCTGCTTTCAACACAGCAGCTGCTTTCTACACAGTAGCTGCTCTTTACACACTGGAAATATGTGTTTTCCGAAGGTCTTAGGTGACCCCTGTGACCCCAAAAGGGTCGCGACCCACAGGTTGAGAACCACTGCTCTAGGGGATGGGGCCAAGCTCAGCTGTTACATATGACAAGATCTGCAGTGGAGTGGTAGCAGTAGTACAAGATATGAGAGGGCCCCAAAGATTGAAATAGTGTTCCAGATGAGTACATTTCTCCCCAAGGACAAGGGATGGGAATATATCTGCTCATTCACACAAGAGTTGCATAAGTGCTGGGACCATTGTGATTCTTGTCTGATGCTGATAAATGTGCACACATGCTCCCTTCCGGTGTCCTGGTAGCTCAAACCAGCTAAATGTTACCAAGTTCTTTTTTGATATCAAACTATATTCGAAGTATCCATATAAACAGACTTTATATTTCCATAAACTCAGATGAAAAGAACAAAGTGTGGCTCCCAACATGAGCCGGCTTTTTGTACCCAATATATGTTTGGGACAGTATCAGCACAGCATTGATAAAATACATTTCAAGTACTAATAAGCATCAATAACTTAAAGTGGTTCTAAAGGTAATTTTATTGCATTCCCTACATTAAGGTAAAAATGTTTTGCCACTTACTGATCTCCCCCAACACTTACTTGACTCCTATATCGATCCAGCTCTATGCCCGGTTGCCAGTCTTCTCTACCCTCTCTATGCTCTCACAAGCTTTGCTGAGAGCAGCAAGAGTCATTGGCTCCTGCTGCTGTCAATCAAATGATGTAAAGAGGGAGCAGGGATGGAGCCGAGCTGCACTGTGTTTGCCTATAGATGCACACAGCCCAGCTTGGGTGCAAGCTCACATGTATGTCCCAACAGCAAGCCTTTTGCTAAAGGAAGACACACAGAAGAGGAGGAGCCAAGATCAGCGGCTGGGGACACTCTCTGCAAAACCATTGAACAGAGGTGGGAATACCATGTTTATTACTTTAATTACAAAATGCCTTTAGAACAGCTTTAAAGTTCCAACATCATCAATGTACTTACTTTGTAGCAGAAGATGGGTTGGGACCTGCTTGTTTTGTTAATACTTACTAGGGCCAAAAGATGACAAGCAATGCTTGAAGTCTACAGAAAGTAATTATTGGGCTGTATAGGAACAACCCTTGCAGTCAACGTGCTGATAAAGTCCTCTGCTATTCTTCATGAACATGACATAACCGTTGGTAGTTCCAAGCTTCAGTGTTTACCACACTCCAACAACTAGTCTACACTCACTAAACCAAGACCACCCTGTTATCCACCTGCTAGCCAAGACAATATTTGATACACATTGAATATACTTACCCACAAGAAGAGCCACCAGCAGTCCACTGACCCTTTGTTCGATAACACGCTCTATCTGAGGCTTTTCTCCTTTTGACATGATGGTGAGAGCGTTGGCATGGCTGACTGTACGCACTGTTGTGGCGCTGAGCCAAGGTAATCCAAAGAGGGCACATACACCACCCATTCCCACAATCAGCAAGAGATCCAAGTGGAATCCAGAGCCCTTCACTGCTTTCCTCTCTGGTTTACTGACGATGAGCCTGCAGGACAGATAGAAAGATCAGGCACCTGCTTTAGAGGGGGAAATAAACACATTATACTGTATATATATTTATTGCTGTTGTAAGGCTGACCATATGCTGCTGAAACTTCCAAATGATGTGGCCAAGTTAAAGAAAAATGGTCTACCATCTTAAAGATTTTAAATAAAAGTCCTTTCTTGAAACAGGTAATACTGGGTACCTGCTATTACCATTGTTGAAAAGTGTCTTTGGTGCATCTTTCTGATCCTGGTTATACTTTTGTAATAATAGGAAGTTAACTTTGTCAGGTGTGGGACTAGATCCTGCTCCCTAAGCTAAGTCTTACCAACTTGCCTTCTCCTGTCAAATGAGAATTTCACAGTGGCCATAAAAAAGATGGAATAATAGTTGGGTGGATCCTATCTCTGGGGTGAGGCTTAGCACAACATTAGGTAATGTAAGGCCTTAGTAACTAAGTAAAACCAGGGAACAAGGGGCCCATCACAGATATCGTCCAAACCTGTGGTGCCTGTTGTTGGGCAGGTTTAGTTTAAATTGCTTTAATGTTCACCAAAAGGATGTCCTAAGACAATTATGGCCTTAAGAGGTTAATAGTTGAGAAATTTTGCAGAGCAATGAAGAAATTATATGCTAGTACTATTCCAAATTTCTATCCATTGCATGGAGGCACAAACTGGAGCAGCCACCTTTAGTTTTTACTCAGATATGTTTATTAGTCCTTTTCCTTTATATATATTGTATGTTATGTAGAATGACCATAGACAATATCTTCAGCCAAACCTTCCCAGGTTGCCAGGATCTTGTAATGGATATCTAACACCAAAGGGTACCCTAAAGTGCCTATGTCATGATGAAGAAAAACACCCATGTGTTTGAAGAATTGGCCATACCCCAATTTATATCATGCTCACTACATCAAAGACAGTGACTTGGTGACCTTCGCTACCCCAAGACTAGTATGAGGAATATGAAGTAGGGTATAGCTACTCCACCACACCCTGTCACCAAGGTGTTTCAGCAGTTTCAGTTTGGCAGCAGATGGTTCTTCAAATGACTTGTTCCATATACGTCCTTCAACTGCCACACATCATCACAGATCATCAGCTGATAGATGAGGTGGACATGGACAAATAAGGACTCTAATTTGATGGCAATAGTTCTCATTCTGCTGCTGCAAAAAGTATCTAAAAGGAAAGTGTTCATTTTTTGTTGCATTTTGTTAGTTTTGAGTTAGGATTGGGCTGTCAGGCAGCAAAGCCACAACATGAGGTCTATTTCCATCTTTAGAACCTGGCTGCAAGATCTGCTAGATTCTTACGTGGTAATTTGAGATTCCATGAAGATGAGGATGAAGACAAGCAAGGCAGGGACTATAGAGGCAAACATCATCCAGATAGGGAAAGGATTAATGGTAGTGTTTAGTCCCAATGGTGAGATGAACCAGTCTCGATCTTGAGGTCGGGAAACACTAAGACCCTTGGGAAGAGACAGTTTCTGGAAACACAGGGAATATAGATTATAATTTTTATATCAGAACATGCATGTGAAAATAGGCATAAGCTCAAATTTTCTAAACGGCTTGGAGTGAAATCTGAACTCCAGCGGTACCTTACGTTTTGCACATTTTTTAACGTGCATATCTGCTCTGATTTTGCTGCACACTGTGAATGTTTCACAATGCATTAGAAGCTGCAGCAAGTCAAATTGAACAATGAACTCCCGATGTGGCTATCGCAACAGTTAAGAGAGCAAAATAATTATACTCAGTCACTAAGAACTTCCTCTAGTGGTTAATTTAAAATCTCTCTGTTTAACACAATAATATAAAATAATGTAATGTCCATCTTTTATGAAAGTGAAAGTCATATAAAAAATAATAATACTGTTATAGTATCTCAAAATATGTATTGCATACAACCATCATTTAGTTTCTCTTCAATGTACAGTGAAGGAAATAAGTATTTGATCTCCTGCTGATTTTGAATGTTTGCCCACTCACAAAGAAATGACAATAGGTCGTGGATGGGTGTTCAAGCATGGAAATAACCCAAAACACAAGGCCAAGGCAACAAAGGAGAGGCTCAAGAAGAAGCACATTAAGGTCTTGGAGTGGTCTAACCAGTCTGCAGACCTTAATCCAATTGAAAATCTATGGAGGGAGCTGAAAGTTCGAGTTACCAAAGGTCAGCCACCAAACCGTAATGACTTGGAGAGGATCTGCCAAGAGGAGTGGGCCAAAATCCCTCCTGAGATGTGTGCAAACCTGGTGGCCAACTACAGGAAACATCTGACCTCTGTGATTGCCAACAAGGGATTTGCCACCAAGTACTAAGTCATGTTTTGTGAAGGGGATCAAATACTTACTTCCCTCATGAACATGCAAATCAGTGCATCATTTGTTAGACATGCATTTCTTTTAAATTTTTTGCTGCTATTCTGTCTCTGTGTTACAATACACCTACCATTCGATTTTTAGACTGATTATTTCTTTGTGAGTGGGCAAACATTCAAAATCAGCAGGGGATCAAATACGTATTTCCTTCACTGTATGTACATGCATCCAGATCACTTTATAAATGAACATTCCTACAATCTGAACATATGGCATTATATTACACCACATTAACTGGAAACAGGCTCACCTTTGTGTATGTATCCTTAATAAAGAAATCAATTGACACCATGACAAGAATGGCAATAGGGACACCAAAGTCTCCAATGATACGACGGAGCTGAAAGAGAAACATTTTGGTTAATTTGCTGATAGATACAATACAACCCAATGAGATATAATCACAATTCTATTCAAAGCATAGCCTGCTATCAAGTAGATGATTGAGGCAGCTGGAACTTCAAGTTCATGAAAGTGGGGGTCTTCTGATTGTGAAAACCAGTTCTAAATTTTTGGAGCTCTTGGATATCCCAAGAATTGAGTAACAGTGGGACGAAGAACCAGTCTAAGTATTCTGTTTTTTTTTTAACCTTGATGGATAATGGTTCCATACATGAACCGAATATTTATTTATTAGTTTATTTTAATTGTTATTGCTAGTACTTGGCATAAACACAACAATGAAATACCAGTTTTGGGTGGCCTTTTTGAGTGGTTCGATGACTTAATATTTAAGGACCATCCTTACCTTGCCAGGGAAGAAGCTACTGTTCTTGAACTGACGCAGGAAGTAGGCAATAAAGAAGGCTCCAGCCATGAGAACGAGAGAGAGCAGAGCTGTGTTTGGTTGGGGATGGTCTGGTAACAACACTACGGATACATTATAGGACTGTATGAGAGGATGTGCTATGAAGATCTGTGTAAGAAATGGAAAATTAGTCATTTACCTAATTAGTCATTTAAAAACAAATGTATAATATTGTGTAAAATGCTTATGCAAATTGGACCTGTTTCCTATTTAGTGGGATCCAGTACACTATAAAAACTGGTACTATATTCCCAAGAAGCAGAAACAGCACCATATGTCCTACTTTTGAGGTTAGGAATGACCCCAGCAATTGTTTTTTTAGTATTAGGCCAATTGCAGTGGACTGCAGTCATTCTGCTAATTGCTTAATCCTGTATTTCTAAGTCTATGATGCATGGTAGGACACTTGTAGGACTATTTAACACATGTCCATCGTCTAAGCTGTCAACTCCACATTTGTTCAACTTTTCCAAGAACTTCCCTCTGGGCTTATACCTTCCCTACTGCAATCTCCAAATATAGATGTCTCAGTACAGATATATATAGTATAGATGTCTTCTTTTTTCCAATAGGAAGAAGACTTAGATATCCACTCCACATCTTCGCTTCTTTGTTCCTCATTCCAAGACTGAATTGATGCCTTTAATACCACAATCTGATATTGATAAAGGCATCAGCACATTAAGGGGTCCACTATGCAGATAGATTAATGATTTCCATTAGCTGTTTTGTCTACCGAGTGGGAGAACTGAGAAAAATCTCTCTATGGCTCCTAGATGTGTACATTTGACCTGAGATTTCTCATATCAAAACTGAATCAGTCCTGTAAGTTCTTGTAGACCTTTCACCTAGATGGATGATCAAATACCAGGACCATGAGTTAGGTGTAGGTGCTAACACTTGTGTACAGTAGTGAAATGTCATTGTGTTGTCATTTAGACCCCCAACTCACCTTGGCTACGTTGGCAAACGTCTCATAGATGAAAATGAGTGAGATCAGGAAGGAAAATATCTCCTGTGTGAATCTGGAAATGAAGCGCACCAGGAAGCTTCCTTCGCAGGCCACAACAATGATGACAATCAGAATCAGCCACAATCCAATCCACACACGACCCACAATGTATTCAATGCCTTGGCTGTCACAGAACTAAGGGGCACAAAAAGTAAGGATTGGTGGCCAATGACAATTTCCTTTATTTTGCTCTTGCCCTTAAAAGTTACATATGGGTTAATATTTGGGAAGTCAACATTTTGAAAATCAACAGGCTTATAGAGAAGCTGTAACATTTTCATACATATTTTAAGTATGTGATAATAGCTTTAAATGTTTTTTTATAGGCTTTTTTTTATAGTATATAAGTACTAGTATAGCATGCAAACCAAAAGCACAATATAAATTGGATTAAATATAATTGAATTGTTCAAAGGTTCACCATAATTTTAAAGCATTTTTAAACATTCAAATGCTTTCAAATCAAATAATTTGACATTGTCTTTTTTTTCTAAAGAAAATGTACAATTTTCCATCCAAGTATAGTATGTTCTTACAGGTAGGTCAAATATTTCATATGGTTCTTTGTGCTCAAAATCAAGAATGATGGATAAGACTTACGTTAAAATAAGCTTCCTCAAACACCAGAAGAGGTCCAGAGAAACCTAGAATAAGTAGAGGCTGGGCACCAAGGAGACAGAAGAGAATACCCTGAATAGCTGTAGACACCATCAGCTCTGGGACACCCATCCATTTCTGTGTTTTCTGAGCTGTAAAGAAGGATAAATGGGTATATCTATATGATGTTTTTTAAATTGTCATTGAAGGTCCCTGAAGTTTTCCATAAACTCCATAGAGATGCAATATAAATCCATAAGCCTATTTTTGCTAGATTTTAATAGTGTACAGAAGAGTTAGAACCATTGTTGGCTTTACTTACTGTCTATGCCCCTACTTAGGAGGTTTAATATTACTAATTGCACTGATGACCATTGTCACCAAGAAAGAAAATGATGGGAAATCCAAACGTTTATGGCTGTCTTCAGAATGAGTAAAGGAACTCTTAGTCCAATGGGGACACATTTTCTAGTGACTACTGTCAGAGAAGGGATCTTTTTTTTAATTGATGAAAGGTGTGGTGGAAACAGTGGCTTAATTCTAAGTGAGCGCAGCTGAATGAAGAAAATTCCAAATGAAGGGAGAAAAGCAAAGATAATCAAGAACAGAGAAAGGATACTATGGCAAGAAATAGCCTTCCCCTTAATTCCTAATGGTATCCTACAAGCCTCAAAGCATTTCAGTCTAAGTGCACAGGGTTTTAGGAACCTAGCAATGCTAATGTGTATTACCCAATTATGCTGGCACAATGTCCAGCATCTGATATCAGATGCTTACCCATTAAACCTCCAAAAGTGATGGCAGGGGAGAGGGCAGCAAAGTAGATAAAGATGACAGCAGCCAGACACTGCGGGTTTAGAGCATCACGTATGTCACTGAGGTACTTGGGGTAACGTCTTTTGATGTCACGAACCAGACCACCAAAAGGCTTTCCTGTTCTCTGCAGGGGGTCTTCTTGGGGCTCCTCTTTTTTTAGATCTGTGCAACAAAAAAGAAGTAATAATAAATAGCACAATTTGATGCTATGCCAGAAATACATCCCTCAGAAGCAAAATGTACTGTTTCTTGCACTAATGAAGGCTAACAAGGTCCAACAAGCTCTTTTGCTAGCTGGATAAATAGCTCCAAACATAGGGTATATCCAGGGGCGGACTGACAACTCATGGGACCCTCGGGCAATAGGGGATCATGGGGCCCCTGTGTCCTTGGCCAAACTCAAAAAAGCCTATGAAAAAGGTACCAGGGGCATCTCATGGGGCCCCCTACTGACCCCAGGCCCTCGGGCACTGTCCGAGTTTCCAAATGGTCAGTCCGCCCCTGGGTATATCAGTACTATAAACCAGTAATTCTAGTTAAAACTTAACCACATGGTTCAGAAATATATATTTCACACTGTACATGGTCCTTAAGTCAAAGTAACTGAACAAAAACATAGCTTAGTGGAGAATCACTTGGCAGATGCATTAAAAACTGTGAAATTGCAATTTACAGCTTCTTAGAAAATGCCCACCATGATGCCTTGATAATGTGCATTGACTTAATATTGCTATAGCAGTCAAAGTAGTTTGGACATCCATGTCCTAATTTTCACATCTGGTTTATGTTGAGTTCTATGTACCTTTGTGTCCACCTGGCACAATTTTCACCGACTGGTATCTCTTCCTAAGCAGGTTCTGCTGAACTGGTACCAGATCCTTCAGTAGCTGTTCATTTGTTGAGTCAGTGGGAGGAAGAACTATACAACAATCCAAAAAGGCATCTAGAGATTGGAGAAGATCCTCACGGCCACCAGCAAGGTACATCTCTGTGCGGAACACCTGCAGAGAAGAATGTGTCAATAATTAAAACAGCAGTTTGGTAAATTGAAAAAAAGTTAATATAATAAAATGGAAATCTGAAAGGATCATTGTAGGGTAATATGTCAGAACTATTGTATTGATTCATCGTCTATATATAATGCATAAATATTTTGCAGTGCTGTAAAGCATTATTCTTAACCCCATTAAAGTGTATGTCTGGGATAAAAAAAAAAACCGTACCGAAAAATACCCATCGATTCTATAAGGGATGAGAAGAGGGGTAGGTGTCCTGTAATCCAGCAGTGGAGAACTTCGCTCAATGATTTTTTGGCAGATCAAGAGGTACGTTTATGCTATTAATACCCCAAAGACATGCTGGTAGGTTAATTGGATCCTGTCTAAATTGTCCCTAGTATGTGTATGTATGAATGTGAGTTAGGGACCTTAGATTGTACACCCCTTGAGGGTTAGGGACTGATGTGAATGTACAATATATATGTGTAAAGCCCTGCGTAAATTGACAGTGCTATATAAGTACCTGAAATAAATAAATTAATTAATATCAGTATTCATTATTGAAAAAAGGAAATGAAAGAATATCGCATGAGTGGTAAATTTAGAGTTGACTCCACCTATGTATTCATAATAATTAGCATTACATAGAAGTATAGACACAGGTTTTATCTGGCATACTACTCACTCTTTCAGCCATCATGCTAGACACAGCCCTCCCCACTTCATGGTAGCTGGTGGTGGCGTTCTTGGGGCCAAGAAGGATGAACATGAACCTGATAGGAAGAGGAGCTTCGATGACTGAATCCAGATGAACGGCCTCCTTCAGACGTATGAAAGCCAATGTGTGGTTCTCCAGAAAGTTTGCACAGCCTGTGGTGTGGGTAGATGATGGGGATGAGAATGGCATGATAAGCAGAACATGTCTGGAGGGTCCAGACAAAGAGTAAGGATGAGGAGGAGAAGATAAAAGCATGAAGAATGAAAACTACCTGGAAGGTAGATGGTGATAAAAGAGGAAAGAGAACAATTAAAAGACAAAGTGAGCCAGACAACACTCCTAGCCAATAGTTTTTTTTTATTTTTGGGTGATAATTCCCAACACAAACAATAAGTAACAATTAAATATGACAGAGTGAATTTAACTAAACCAAAATTCAGCAAAGATTGGCAGATTCACTGTATATTCAATATTTTACATCTGCAGTCTCCAAAATGCTGTCCGGGGGCCAGATGTGGCTCTTTGCTTGCCTTTATCTGATCCATGGGGCATTATTCCATCCACTGACACCAACAACGGGGCATAATTCCTGTCACTGGCACCAATAATGGTACACTATTCCTCCCACAGAAACCAACAAAAGGGCAGAATTCCTCCCACCAACACCAATGAATGATGGTGCACAATTATTTCCATTGACACCAACAAATGGATAGAATTCCTTCCAATGATATCAATGATGGGCCACTATTCCATCCACTGACACAAACGATGGGGCACTATTCCTCTCATTGACATCAATGAAAGGGCTCAATTCCTCCCACTGACACCAAGGAAAGGGCACAATTCCTTCTACTGACACCAAAGATGGGGCAGAATTCCCTCCACTGGTACCAACCATGGGGCACTATTCCTTCCACTGACACAAACGATGGGGCAGTATTCCTCTCATTGACATCAATGAAAGGGCTCAATTCCTCCCACTGACACCAAGGAAAGGGCACAATTCCTTCTACTGACACCAAAGATGGGGCAGAATTCCCTCCACTGGTACCAACCATGGGGCACTATTCCTTCCACTGACACAAACGATGGGGCAGTATTCCTCTCATTGACATCAATGAAAGGGCTCAATTCCTCCCATTGACACCAAGGAAAGGGCACAATTCCTTCTACTGACACTAACGATGGGGCAGAATTCCCTCCACTGATACCAACCATGGGACACTATTCCTTCCACTGACAGTAAAGATAGAGCATTGTTTACTCCCACTAGAAACCAGGCCATTTTCTACTCCCACTGGCTAAAGCCTGCCCCCCAAAGTCTCAAGGACAGTAAACTGACCCTTTGTTTAAGTTTGGAGACCTATGTTTTAGACTATAGTCTTTGCAAATTTGCAAAATGAAGTCAAAACAGAGCTATACATAAGCAACTAAATACACAGCTGAAATATATACTGGACTTGAACTATTTCAGCAGCCAAAAGATTTTTAATTCTGTTCAGCCAGTCCTAAAATGCACTCACCCCTGTCAAAGTGCATAGCATGGATCCTGCCTAAATTACTCTCTACTTCAGTTAAAGCTACAAAGATTAGACAAGGGCCTGCCTCAGACTGTGGCTTAATAAAGAAACAGTCTGATTAGATCGTCACTTAACTCTCTTCTTCTATCAGCAAGCTTTCTAGGTTTGATTGAGAGCAGGATGCAATGCAATAGGTCCAGACTGGATACTTTTTGAGAAATTACAGGAAGCTAATATAAAGACTAAAGGGTGTAACAAAGGTATAGCGAGCGCTACGGGTAAGTAAATGTAAGCAGCTAAACACCAAACAAAGGTAACCAAAAAACCTTTCAATAATCAATAAAGGGAGAAAGATAGGTGTAGCGCTTTGAATCAGAGTGCAAAAAGAATACTCAAAAGGTGTATATATATATATATATATATATATGAATATGAGTACAATGATAAACAGTGCGCTAATCAATAAAAGTGTTTAAAGCACACACACAGTCCACATCCCAAATCAATGGTGGTAGGAAGGGTGAAAAATTACGCATGTAGAGAGATAAACTCTTCAGTATGTCTCTGGCATCCAGGCTCTGGTCAGATCGCACTCCACACCATCCTCTATGGCACCGCGAACCGCAGTAAACCGGATTCCCCAAATGGCAAGGGCGTCAAAAGTACTCCTTAGTCCAAAAAAGGCACTGTGGGAGATGGTGCTCTCAAGGAGAGCCCAATAAAGGACGCCACATAGTGTAATGCTGTTTGACTTGAATTTATTGTAGTCAAAGCAAGTAACAAAAAATTGTACTGACCATATAAGTTGGCCACATATAGTGGCTAGATGTCCATGAGCTGTAGCCCCCCCTGATTTGGGATGTGGACTGTGTGTGTGCTTTAAACACTTTTATTGATTAGCGCACTGTTTATCATTGTACTCATATTCATATATATATATACACCTTTTGAGTATTCTTTTTGCACTCTGATTCAAAGCGCTACACACCTATCTTTTCTCCCTTTATTAATATAAAGACTAATTTATGTACTATCTGAAAACCCATTTAGGGCCTGTGTGTAGATTGGTTTTGGGCTTGTGATGAGGGGTCAGCTTGACATCAACTTCAGACGCTTTGAGATTTTTCAGAATTTATTGATATGTGCTTTCAACCTGCAGTTGACCTCCTTCTGGACCTGCATTTGACCATTTCAAGGGAACAAAAGCCCATCTACACAGGCTCTTTTAGTAGTTTTTGTTAAACCATAACAAGATTAACAGGAACTCCTATGACTCTTTTTTTCTTTATTAAAGAGAGAATATTTAACAAAATTATTAGACTTTTATATAGATAAGGTATTAGGTTTCAGTGAAGTGAAAAGTTAAACATAGCGGAAGTGGGCAATAAAGGGATATACTCACCAACCATGACCACTGAGGCTTCAGCATTTTCCGGTACTCTTTCATCCAGCTTTCCTTTGACATGTGACTATTGAATTGAATGGAATGATTTAGTCTAAACAAATGGCATACTGTGGATATTCATAAAGCTATAATGCAGATGAGCAAATCAAAGGGACAGTCCACAAGCAAGAGATATTTTAGTTATAGGTGGAGCTGGGTGGGCTGAGTCAGCCCCTGGCTTTTTTTTTTTTATCAGGGATACTTCAACATAGATCACCCCTTCCATAATTCCCAACTCTGTTCTTGTCCACCTGGCAGGTTTGGATCCACCAAAAATGTGCGCTACAGCTCCTCCTACTACAATCTCCATAATATAAAATATATAATATATTAAAAAAAAAACAAAAAAACTCCAACAGGGTTAGTGTGAATCCTGGATAATGGCCATGCCAGGTGTGCAGACCCAAGAATTCAAGGGAAGAGAACTTAACAATGGAGTCCTTTAAAGATATAAGAAACTGTCAAGTGGTTGTACTCTCCAACATCTACCAAAATCTGAAATATCGGCTTTGATTGGACTGACCACTTAAATGTTGTGCATGGATTTAATAAATACTTTCACCAGTGTTTTAAATATCACTTCTGTTCTTAATAATAACCATTCAAACACTTTATTGGATGATTTAAATTGGGTAGCTTTAACTTGGCTTCATTCTCATCTCATCTTACTAGGTCCTTATACATTGTTTTTGGATAATACATTTTGTAGCTGAGAACCAGCTAAGGGGCTGCCACCTACAATATCTAATGTGAGCCATTTGAGCCATTGGTGGAGGATTACTGGTTTTCCCTTCCTACCTTTTCTTCTATGGTCTTCATCTCGATCTGGTGAATGAGTGCCTGAGCACTCTCAGGGTCCCCTTTGGAAACATCTTCATCTGGACGGCTGTTGATAGAAATTCTTGATGTAACCATCACATTCCTTTAAAAATACTAATGATACACTATTATATTTACAGGATTCCTTGGTGAAACTGGAGTGCAACCATTGTTATGTCTGTTGTATTTCACTATGACACGTACTATTTTCACAACCCCTACACACAAAACTCATCTGAAAAACCAACACTAATGACTCATGTTCATTTATATTCATGGACTGACTATCCATACAGAAAAATAGCTGGTACCTAAAAAGTCCAAAAGAATTTGCAGTTTATCTAAAGGGGCCCTCTGTTTTAAACAGAAATTATTTAAAGCTGAAGTTCAATCTGCCTTTATTATGCTTACAACTTATCATTGATTCCCAAATAAAATTCCTCAACCAAGCACCAATCAAAAGTAAGTGATTAGTTTGGGGAGGAATGTTCCCTTAATTGGGTTGATGTGTAGCTTACTTGTGACGCAGAAGTAGGGCTCTCAGTACTTCCTCCCGGTGATCGGGATTCAGGCGACCTTCATAAATCAGTTGATCAATGACATGACTGGAGATTCCCGGAAGAGTTTTTTCCGCCAGGTCTAGAATCACCGTGCCTAGTGATGAAACATTACAGACTTGTCACATATCCATTCCGGATGGGGATATGCAAAAAATAATTCACACTTTGAATCCACTTTCTAATAATTGCAAACCTAATTGAATTTTTTGCAATATTTTTTCATGGTTTTTACAACCTGCACAACATCACACGACCTGGAATATCGGCAACCTGTTCAATACTCCATACTATATTTGCAAACACTATTTTAACTGAAATAGTCTCAAACCCAAACTTGGTGAAGGCCATGTTTTAGAAAAGCACATCGCCACTTGTGACTGCTGGAAAGGTCATAACGGAAGCTGCAAGATTATATTAAAGCTGAACTCCTGCTTCTTACTTAGTTTTCATCCAGCCCATAGAACTGGTTGGTGACCTGACTTTTCTCTGCTGCAATTAAACAATAAAGCTAGGTCACCTCCTTGCCCAACTTTGATTGGAAAGTGAAGGAGCAGCAGAAGACTTTTCAGATCTTCCCTCTACTCACTGCATTCTCTCCTGCTACTATTATTATTATACAGTATTTATAAAGCGCCAATAGTTCACTCAGCGCTGTACATTACAAAGGGGGACAGAACATGGGACAGAACAACAACAATACAATGCGAAACATGAGGGGATTGAGGGGCCTGCTCTTTCGAGCTTACAATCTAGGAGGGAGGGGATGGTGGTACAGGAGGAGATAGCTGTGGGGGATGGAGTGGTAGGAAGAGTGGAGGAGGTCGGTCAAGTTAGCAGGGGGTG